TATTGGATATTAACATAAAGGCTGATTTTGATTCAAAAAGGGTATAATGATAACACAATGAAGCTTCTATATATATCTTTAGGGTTCACAAACATTTTCTCGGCACTGTGTCAGTACTGTACCAACAGTTATCCTGTACCACATGCTACACTGATTTTCTCAGACACACGCACTGCACACATTGAACATTTACAACAATTTACAACATTTACACAAATATGACAAGAGACAGGTGCTGTGACTTAAAACAGTTTAATGTAAATCCAAGACAAAGTGTGATTACATTTCTACACATATACAATATGCATATGTGAGCATACAAATTCTGATTAATAACTCGATTCACCTTGGAGACCGAAAAAATGATCAAAAGTAACAGTGAATAACAAGCTATAACATAGTTCACCACAACGGGAGCCCCTTCTCACCCTACAGTTAGTAAATATAACAATTAAAAGAACTATATTCTTCTATAACGAATTTTCAGTTAAAATCTTCTGTAAATTTACAATGCTATTATTAGTTTGAAGACTAATATAAATTCACTCCATTTTTCTACAACGAAAATGATTATTAAGAGAAGCACACAATGTCTTAATGGTAACACAAGCCTTTAGTAGCAAGTACTCAACTGGTTAAGAATTTAATTTATTATTATTTTTCAAACATTCTATAAGCCAGTAAAATATCCATTCTCATAACATACTTATAATATGAGACTAAGGAATAGGATACATATATTTCTACATCATCAAACTGATAAAAGAGACATTACACTTCTTCACCCCCCCTCCCCACCAAAAAAAAACCCCAAAAATGTAAGAAGGACAACACAGCGAATTATACAGGAAAATACTGCTGCACACAATAGATTTCAAAGATAAACAAGAAATAACACTTCATACAGAAACCATACAGTAATGGACAGAAACACAGTCAGGGTTTGATGCATTCTTAGGCTGTGAGGCGTTAATAGAAAAATATTTTGTTCTTTTTTTGTGTGTGTGGTTTATTGACTAAAGGTTTACTGGAGATTAACAGAACAGCAGGACTGGTTGATGAGTAATGAAAAGACTAACTTTATCACTTTCATTTTTCTTTATGACCTCAGGAAAGTCTGAATGTTAATATAGTACTAGCAGTGACTGTGAACAGCTAGGCCTCAGCCTGACATTTTTCACAGACGAGAGTATTTGCCATCAGGGATACCCAATGACATACCTTTGGATGTTATTGCGTATCCCTGTGACATACTGGGATGCTGACATACCTTTGGATAACAAGAAGTGCAAGTACCCATTAAATGCCACAAAAAGCCATTGCAGAAGCCATTTGCAAAGCAAAGCTCAAGGATTCATCACAGAGTTGACTTTTAAATAAAGTTTCTTTTGCTAATTTACTCAACACTGAAGTTCTGACTTCCAAGAACACAGGGAGAACAAGTAAAATCACATCCCACTCATTCAAAAAGATAAGAAGCTATGAACACAGTGCACCTCAGCAAAACCTCTTTGCATTTTGATGTTTATTCATAATTTTTTTGGTTCTTTTAAGAAATGTATAAAAATGGCCAAATTACAACATTTGGCTCTGTATGTCCAGAGATAAAAGGATGGCATCAAACCCCAAATCCGTGCTCCCCTCTCCCTCCCAAAACAAAAAAAATCAGTAAACGGAACAAGCAGTACTTGAAATCCAAACACACACACGTACACTCATGCCTTCAGAAGTGTTTCAGAATGTCTAAGTACTGGTTTGAAAGGACCTCTAATGTCAAACATCTTAAGTAATTACTGTACCTCACTGCCTACAAGAACTATACTTGCCAAACCCACAGCCTGAAGAGGAGAATGTGCTTTGAAGTTATAATTCTGCTTTCTGTATAGGTGGCTCGTCAGCACAACAGGATGCTTTTTTAAGCAGTTAAAAACATTTTGAAGGGTCACTTTCAATGATTCTGCCTTAGAAAACCAAGTGAATCTTGTACACAAAGCTTTCTGGTATGTAGTTAATATAAAACAAAATAAATAGCAAAACTGATATTTTATTTAATCTGAAGGTTTTATGCAGTGGAAATGTTTGAAGCTATATGTTTCATTTGGTTTTAGTCTAGATGGCTGTAAATTTTCTAGGCTTTACAAAATGGCAACACTAAACATCACTATAATTTATATCACTCCTTAAAGCTTTGAGAGTAAAGTGGGACATTTTCATGCAGTGTATATAATTAATCAATTGAGGGCTGCTGTTATCTTTTTCCTTAAGAAATTTCTTTCACAGATATGGTTCACATAGAGAAGGTAATTTAATTTTTTGTTAGCACTTTTGGGCAGTTACAGTACTGCATGAGATACAAATTCTATATTACTGTAAATTGCAATCATTACTGCATATGATACATTGAACAAAACACAATAATGAAAACATTTTCAGTACTAAAAAATGAATTGACTGTTTCAGATCTTTTGCATTAGCACTTAACAAAAACAAGGTTAAGTGGTGTAGGGTTAAAGGGCTGCTCATAGCTTGCACACCACACAACGAAAGTGTTTCAGAAAGTACAGAAGAATATATTACAAAAACAATCTTCTTTACACATATTCTCTTTTGGAAAATGTAAAGATGTCACACTATCACCAAAATATAAAGACAAGCTATGAATGATTGTTAGTATTGCCTTCGCCTCTGGGATGGTATTGCATTTATAATGGAACATTTATTCAATAGCACACAGCAGTAGTAACAAAGACCTACACTCTCTTTTTCATAAGAGAAGAGAGCATTTCCATCACTGGCCCCTAATAATGAAAGAGAACATTTTTGTATTTTTTTCTATTTACAATCACACTGTTAGTAACAAAAATGAAATGCTTTCATTGCTTTTATTAACATTTGATTAAGATCTTTCCTATAGTTAACTGCTATGGCACTAATGTTGGGAGTTATGTAAAATATCTATTACTGATGAAGCGCTATGATTACCACACATTTTTAAAGCCTAAAAACAATGCAGGAAAATACATCTGTCCTGCATAGTTAGAAAAATAAACAAAAACACAAAGAAGAGATTTCTAAGGTTTGGGTTTAAACGCTAAAAATCCAAAACAATTTAAATTTCAGTTAAAAAAAACGTTCTGGGACATCATAGTGTGAATGAAATAAATGCTGAACGTCTGGAAATCACATTCTTGAAGTGAAAAGAATGCTGAAAATAAAGGTATACAATTTCCCCACAAAAGATGATGTGTTTTGTGAAACTGTATTGTGGCATCCCCATTTTCTGTTTGGTGTGTGGATACATACATATCTCACAAACACCTGTTGGGAGAATAGTTGCCAAGTACAGTATTTATTTATTTTGCCGTTGTGTGACATGTAATACAAAGCAATTATTCAGAACACAGAAACAGACAAGTTAAGATATTATTGCCGGTTAATTCCAGGTAGTGAGGGTAAATATAATCTAATAGTTTATCATTTCTTTGGTGGGAAAAAAAGCCTTAAATAGGCCACACTGTTTCCCCGGCTCGTTCTCGGAATGAGCACAGACTGGGAGGCAAACTGTGCAGCGGACAGGTGCATCATCTGAGTGGAATGTTTGAAAGATGATTCTCTCTAGGCAGGATTCATACAAAACAGGATCTTTCTCGACTGTGTGCTTAAACCGGGCTGTTTCCACAATGTAAAACCAAATGGCCTACCTAACAATACACTTTATGATACAGTAGCTTTTGATTGCATGAGACCCAGGAATCATTGCAAAAAGAATTAAGTGGTGCTGCAAAATGTGAAATTGTACAAAAATCAAGAAAGGCTATAAATTACTTCTAATCAATTTTAATTGTTCTTTGGGTGTGGGGATAATGTTAAAGGCATAAAACCTGGGTTCAGTGCACTCAACTTTGTCTCTTTTACCTACAGTACCTTACATGGGACTCATGGGACTTTTTCTGTTTTTCATGATACTGGAACACTTTTTACAGCAGCTCTACACAACTGATAAATATATCCCTCCTTAGGGGAGTTAATTTTAAATCAACTGTTGATTACAAATAATATTATAAATGTGTTTACAAGAAATCAAAGCTCATGCTGTTAATACACTGAATAGAATCACTGCAACAATGTAAAACACAATGGTACCAAACAATCCCCAATCCTTTTCAATTCCCAAACCTACTTATACGTTTTAGCAAAGTGGTATGAAAGACAAAATGGGTAACACACACAAACTCACAGTCTCCAACATGAATACCATCACTGTGTTGAATCAGCTGCTAATATGTGCCCAGTTCAGGAAAAAAATAAAGCCTGAAACACTGGTTAAAATAAAGCTTAATTTGAAATTAAGCAGAAAGTACAACAAGCTTTGAACCATCAATTCACAAAATGTAGCTATCCCTTTTACATGTCATTAAACTTACACAAGATTGAAATAGCTAATCACTGTACTAACAATTAAAACAAAAACAACAATTCCAGGTGTATGCTAAAGCACTGTTCTATTTTTTTAGTTAACATCACCAAGAAACTGCAGAAGCAGTACGATAAACCTTTATAAAACTAACCCAGACTGCTTTCAGAGTACCATATGCATTCAAGTAGCACCCCACACAATTTGTATCTTGTAGTACCATGATGGTTTTATGTTCCAACATACTCTTTCCCAACTTGCAATACTTAAGTCCCATAAAGATGCAAAATTTCACTTTGTCCTTCTCAATTCCTCAACTGATCAAGCCATCTTATTACTCAGCCTATCCCTCTACCCCGTCTCAATTAACATCAGACCCCTGATCCCACAAATCCCCCAGAAATATTCTATTTCACTCCCACTGAGAGGTTCTGGAAAGGTACAGTATCAGGTCAGCCTCTTATTTCTTTCTTTTGTCAAACACTGGAGCAAATTTAGAACTCATTTTTTTTGCCTTGTTTAGCTTATTTTTCACAAATTACATTTAGACTTATTCAATAAAAAGTCAATTAATTCAAATCTATTACAACAGAATTAATTTAGATTTAATAAAATATACATCATAGTTTTAAATGTATTAAATATTTTCCTGTCTCAAAATTTTACATACAGAGCTACCACAATAATAGCTTAATAAGCATAATTGCTTGTGGGTATGCATGTATAATTTAACATTGTCTATTTTAACCTTATTTTTGCCAGTTTTTTACATTATTTTAAATGTATTCAGCGAGGAAATACCTTGACGACTACCACCAAGCAAAAAACACTTCAGGCAAGCATTATTTTAAGTACCAGTATTTTTTATACAGGCCTCCCTATTAGAACTATCCTATGTTCATGTTTTTAATTTAATGTTTTGTTTATCATATTTCATTTTATATGTTGGATTTCAAGTTAATCCCTGTGGTAGCTGAAATTACTGAAAAAAATATTTTTTAAATAGACCATTCCATATTTAAGAGGTGATATAGTATTTTCATTACATACTTCCATCTTCTGTGCCATCTGCAGATTTATCCTTCAGTCTATTGTAGGATGTACCTCTCAAAGCAGTTAGATTGTTCCAGTATTGGTACCACAGTGACAGAACCCTACAGGTTATATACACACATGGTATACAGAACCGCAAGCAAGTCACTACGTTCAACAGAAGTAAAGAATAAAACGCTGGTTATTCTTATACATTGATAACTTTGCTTCAGTACCAAACACAGTTCTTCTCAAAAACTTATTTAGATACCAGCATGGTGAGATAATATACAAAAACACATCAGGATAACTTTTGTAAATCATGCAGTTCATGATTTTATGTATGAATATGCACATTTATATGTTTATATTAATATGCTTAGCTTACACCTGGAAGTTGAAACAGGGTTGTTATAACAAGGACAATAACAAGCTATGAACTGGCTTTCAAACTAGCCCCTGTTGGTTCTGTAAGTTCCAGCGAAGTAAACTTTAAACTGTGTCTGTAAATCTGTAAGGCACTACGAGGAAACAATGTCAAAACCTAAGACTATGAAGTATTTAAAGTTGCACAAAGGTGCAAAGGATAGACCACACACAAGGCGACGTTAGCACACACACACCTAGACGATCACGTTGTACATGCCTATGTTATCATAATCACTTTGTGCAATCACATTTAAAGAATAGAAACAAAATCTATTGGTTTCAGAGAAGTTCTTCACAAAAAAGGGTGCATACTGCTACATTCTAAAGGGGCCCAGCTAAAATTCCTACCTTGAAGGTAATTAAATCAGAAAAGACAGTTTTCCTAAAAGAAAATAAAAGCTATAAATTATTTATAAAGTATATATATTCCTTTCAGAAAAACCCATCCAGTCATCTGTCAAAACATGGGTAATTCAACCCAACTTACAGTTTGGAAATGGTTAAGACAGTTCAAGGCCATTGTTTTTCTTTGAAGAGCAGCAGGTATCCTTTTCGCCTCATCCCCATCTCACTAGAGGTCACATGGACAGTGCATGACCTCTGTCTTCAAAAGTCATATTGGATTAAGAAAAAAGAAAGGGGAAAAATAAAAATAGCCACCTTTCCCATAGGCCTTGACAAAGGCCAGGCTGCCCGAACAAATAAAACAAAAAAATTGCCTTCAAGGATTTTTTTAAACCTGGGAAAAAAATAAAAGCACTGGCCCTTTTAAAGATCCTTTTAAAAGAAATAATCCTAAAATCCTACCCCCTCTTTTTTCAGAGAGGAGTTTTCTTTTTTCTTCAAGTTTAACATGTCAGCTTAATTGGATTGCATGTTTCTTTTTTCAGTTCTCTTTCTAAAGCAGCGTTGGTGTGGCTCCAGTGTTTTCAGAGGTAAGGGTATTGGTTCACCTTGGTGGGACTCAGTGGATATCCAGTGTAGACGGTGGAAGCTGGCGAGGCGCTAATGTAGGTCTGGTGGGCGAACTGTGCCTGGTACTGGCTGTGGTGGATGGTGGGTGAAGGAAGCACACGGTGGCCCATGCTGACAGGGACCTGGTGGACGATCCCAGCAGGGTAGGCTGTGTGCTGCACCGCATGGCGTGCTGAGCCCTGCGAGGCCACTAGGTGAGCAACGGTGCCTGTGGAGCCCAGAGCTGTGGGCGTGGTATAAGTGTACAGGTGTGGTTGTCCAGGAAGGTGGGCGGCCGCTGCTAGGTGCGGGTGAACAGCAGTGTGCGAAGGACTGTTGTGCGGGAAGGAGTAAGGTGCCTGTGCTATAGTTGGGGTGATGTAGGCCTGCTGCCTGCGGTGACCCCCATTCCTCTCTGCTGCCACATGCTGCTGCGCCTGTGAGGGAGATTGAAAAAAAGCTGAAAGAGGCATACTTTGGATCATCTTGCTTTCCCCAGTGATACTGTCTGCTGCCTATATAAATGAGGGGTGCTGATTAGCAAATTGATGATGTCTGTGGAAATACCAAGAATGATCACTGTATTCCATTAATTGTGTAGACAAAGTATGTCAGTAAAATACATTTGTACTAAAAATCTGACCTTGTCTTCTATGAAGTCACACACTCTTTATGAGTATTATGTGCTTGTACATGCATGAAAATGTACTGGGCTCAGTCTCTGCTTGATCAACAAAAGCTGCACAAAGTTATACCTGCTCAAAATATATCATTGGCCTTTTTTAAATCTGGATGAAATTATGATAAATTCATGTATCTGTATATTGATAGGAAACTATGTGCCCCAAAAGAGACCTGTGCAACTGTCACCTGTGTTATTCCTGTATATCGCCAACATATTCTAAGGTGTGAAGTAATTACAATTAGCAATGCTTAAGCACCAGGACAGACTTTTACATTCACAGAATAAGCCTATAACAGTAAAGAGGGATAAACTGCATCAGTGTGGTGAATTGGAAAATAATGCGCAGTTCATACTAAAAAAATAAGAAAAAATAAAGCACAGGTGTGAAGAAGTTTTTTCTTAACACTTTCAAGGGAATAATGTAAGCATACATATTTGTTTTTTCTAAAACAATATATAATATTGTTTTGAATAAGTTTTACCAGTGAAATTAAAAAGGATGAATTTAAGACATGCACATAAAAAGAGATATGAATAACAACTGTCTTTAACTGTTACATAATGTATTTTGTGAGTGAAATATATAGCCATGGGTGGCCCAATGGTTAGCATTGCTGACTTGCAAATCTGAGGCCCTAGGTTGAATTCTGGACCTGAAGTGCTATCTATGTGGAGTTTGTATGTTCTCCCCTTGTTCAAATGGGCTTTTTTGCTGGATGCTCTGTTTTCCTTCCACGGCCCAAAGATTGGAGTTAATTGGATTCTGGCTCTGCTGCGTGTGTATCTGTGTGAGCCCTGTGACGGACTGGTATCCTCTCTAGGCCTAGGGTGTATCCTAAATTGCACACGTTGCTTGCCGGCATAGGCTCTGACACCCCCATGACCCTGAATTAGGTGGATGGATTATACACTCATCCTAAATGGTTTATTATCTCAGAGATGCCATCATGCATCCTGTTAATGCTGTCTGTTGAGTGGTGCACACCACAGCAGACTCTCATTTATATTCTTGCAGGAATACAGAAGGTCTTGGCAGAGAGAAATAATTGTTTCAAGTTAACCTTTACTGTTACATGTGTCATAAAATTAAAATACCTACTATCCAAAGATTATCTAGAGCTGGGAGTCAAAATCATTTGTATATGTATTTTACACCTGATTTGGTTTAAATGTACTTCATTTGGGTCATACTGTACATATGATGTATTATCAAAATATCATTAAATAGTATAATGTATTTATAATAGTATATTAATTATTATATATGTAGCATTATTATACATTTATACTAGTGTTTTATGTAGTATCCAAAATATCTCAATGACATGAGTGCCAGGAGATGTATATTGAGGCAAATATACCAGGGAAATATACAACCCCCTGCTATATGAGCATTTGGTTTATGAATTTTCTCTATATCAAGGGCTCTTCTTCCTGCATCCCTTTTAATTTCATTTCTATCATGTGCTGTCAGTACATTGTTACAAAAGCAAAAGAAAATTAAAAAGCACTGATAAAGGTGAGTACATCTGCATAGCCTTAAAGTCAGATGCAACATGCCACTGTACAAGTTTTCAATTTTTCTACATATTACATGTGGAACAGTTATGTTTTAACTACCATACAAAATTAAATGGGATAATTATCACAATTATAAATTATGCTAATTATATTAATTCAAGTAATA